AATGGTATAAAAAAATAAGTACAAGTAACATATTTAAAAAATTATTGAATATTCTATTTTATGAAATAGTGCCGATCCATTTTTTTTACTAGAGACACCTTCAATTAGTACAAGGCTGTACAATTATTAGTAACATAAACCAGTTAAAAAAAAGGATATATGTATATAAACTGAATCAGATTTGATTTTTTTAAAGTGAAAATCAAAAAGGAAATCAAATTATAAGGATTCAGTTTCGATCTTTATTTTACATTCAATTTTGGTTTGGTGTTTTAGAGCATTGACAATGGCAAGGCAAAATGAAATGTCACACGGTGACATGTATTATTTCAATCAATAAAAAGTAACCCGGTCACCGTGTGGCAAATGTGTAGAGTGTCGTAACATACAGTGGCAAGTCGTTGTTTTTGTCTAATTTTGCACTTTTTAATGATTTTTAATTATAAAAAATATTTTAAAAATCTATTTTATTATTAAAATATGTTTACTTCCTTTAAAAAAAAATTTTTCAAAAATTACAAATATTACAAATATTAAAAAAAATAAAAAATGAGAGAGCCATGTCTTGCACATGGAATGAAAAGTGGAGTGGAATGACCATGAAATGTCATGATTTGAGTGAAATTTGCTGACATGGCATGGTATGGCAAGGCATTGTCTCGCCATTGTGAAACGACAATTTTTAAAAAATCTGAAACGACAATTTTTTAAAAAATCATTTTTTCATAGAAAAAAGAGATACCGAGATTACCGACAACCATGTCTCCATGCTCATACGTTTGACCAGGCATCGAAGGAGATGTTGGATATATTTAAACTTTGTGATCTGTTATTTCTTGAATTAAACATTAAAGATATGTCATGTTTTTTTAAAAAATGTGACGAATATTTTAATATATTTATCTGTTCTCCATAAATCTTCTCATTATGCATTAAAAGATTTGATAAGAAGTGAAAAGACTACACTTCGTATCATTTTATGAAATAAATACTAAAAAACAAATAAAGTGAGATAAAATTTATCATGTAAATAGTATCTGAGAAAATCTATAAGAACGAACCGGAGAAAGTTATTTACAAAAATGATCAACTAGCATATCAACATTACATTAATTTTCTAATCAGCATTTCATTAATTTTTTTAATTGGCGTCCTAAAGTTAAAATATTGTTCGATAAACTTATTAAATATAGTGAAATTTGCACTAAATAGGAATAAAACATAATGACTTTCCTAATCTAGGACTTAAACTTTTTTATTCTCTAAATAGGACTTATTAATGTCTTAGTGAAGGAATAATATCTAGTAATGATGGACATTTACTTAAATAATGACTAATTCATAATGACCAAAAGTCTTACATTGAGAAATAAAAACATATGGTCTTATATTCGGAAAGTCATTATGTTTTAGTCCTATTTAAGTAAATTACTCTTAAATATATACTCCGTACATACATTTCTATTTTATATTTATTATTAATTGATATATAATTAGTTCACAAAAATATTGTACTCTTTCCGTCCCAAAAAGTTAGTCCGTCTCATTTCTATTAAAAAACCACTTTTAACCCTTACTTTTTCATTCTCTATCTATCACATCATAGCTTTTTTCTAATAATCTACTATACCCATCACATCCTACTTTTACCCATCACATCAAGGATATTTTTGGAAAGTCAACACAAAATTATCTATCCTTATTTTACCACTTTAGTCAAACCGTCCCAATCTTTTTTGGACGGAGGAAGTATTACATATACTCCGTAATATTCTGTTGAGACCGTGAGTAATCTTACACCAACTCTGTATTTGTATGATATTGACTGTTTTGTGTTAAGCCCGCGTGGATTAATTTTTGGGCACCAGCCAAATCATGGGCCTGTATGAGAATAGCGTTAGCGTTTTAAAATTTTAACGGTGCAGATTATTTTGAAAATGCAAACATTAAACGTTGCCCGTAGATAGTCTTTTCAAAACGCTAACGCTATTCCCAAACAGGCCCCATGTGTAGAATGGATTGAGTTTAAAGTTTAAACTATGTATTATGGTTGCTCCTCCTTTTGGGTGTGGAGTGCTTCTATGATGCACCTTTGGTATTTATCATTTTTGTGAATCTTTTAATATTAAAAATCTGTTTTTATTTATTTTTTATTTAAAAATTAAATACTCCGTAATTATCTAAACAATAAAAATTGTTTATTTTACTCATATCTAAGTCGATTAAGATCCACCATATAATTTGCCTTCTAGACTTGGGAGGCTAAAAGAACTTTATGTTTTTCTTTTTGAATCGTAAAAAAGAATCTATCGTTCCACTTGAAGAAAAATTAAGCCACTCACAATATTTTTCTCCCATCGGCAGAAAATTTGACCATTTAATTTGTTTATTTTTTAAACTCCATAAAAAAAATAAACAAGAATTTGTTTTATGAATGAAAGGAATATAATTTTTGGAGTTGGTTGGAAGATATATAATTAAGGTCACCATCCAAAATAAGAATCAGTCCCTCATATATGTTGGCCTGCAAGCCCTTGATTAGTCAAATGAAAGGGCAATCTTTTTGACATGAAGATACAAAAGTTTCAATTCCTAGGTGGATCTCTTCACATGCAAGGCCAATCTTCTTCGTGTGAGTGTATCAAATATTCAAATTTGACTTTCAATAATGTATTGTTGGGTACTCTTGATGCAACACCTTTTTATAAATAAAAAAAGATGAGCCCCATCGTCGCCGAACGTCATCTCAGACTCGGTTAGATGGTCACTGAGAGAAGGTAAATTGAATTTTGATCGCAGATTAGTGTTAAAGAGTGGAACTTGTATTTTGTAAATGCAGAGGCTCTATGTTTAGCATAGTTGTCAGTAATCGAACACCTTTTTATAAACCTTTTTATAACAGGTGCATTTGGGAAACAATTTCACGTCCGTTTAATGTTTTGAGAAAATTATTTAACGATAACGCTTATTTATAATGTTTTCAAAGATAATCTACAACTTTCAAATTTTATTTAAAATAATAATGCTATTCAAAAACGTTGTTTACGAACAAGACAATAACTCTAAATATACATTAGAAGCTTATTTTTTCGAACTTGTTACTTATTCTTACTAAAATCGGATCAAAACAAAATTAACTTTAAATATAACTAGAATCAGATTAGACCAGATCAGACCTTAATATAAGTAGTGCATATTCAATCACATTAGATGAAGAAACAAGCTCAAAGTGTAATATAAATCAGTGAAAAATTCAATTCTGGTAACTAATAAACATGTAAAGTGCATATTTTTAGTTTTTTTAGTGTAATATATAAGTGCACTTGGCAAACATATTTGTAATTTTTAGATATTAAGTGAACAATTAATTTTTGATTAGTAAGCATTGCATGGTATTTTTCAATCTCTACTACCAATTTTCAAACGGAATATTAGAAATTGCCTCTTGATATTCAAGTTAGACCTGATCAAAGTACGAGCTAAATCGGGACACTATACTTTGAATTTTTCTAATATCAATCTACATGTCATGGGTAACCTCAAAATAAAGGGAATGGCATTATTCATTTTAGAGCACTTCCACCCTTGAAGAAATCTGTCATGAAAACATTTATGGGGATAAAAATCATTCCAATGGTGAACTTTAGAAAAGTTTACATAAACTTTTTCTTGGAAATTTTTGGTTAGTTTTTTTGTGTGTCATTTACCTCCAATTTTTTTTCCATCATCTCCGATGGCGCCAAAATTTCACCATTTTTTGGCTTTGGGGTGTGATGGAATAAATCAAAATGGATCTCTAAACTATCTGCGCTTCTTTAATTAATGAAGTAGCAGTTAGTCAAGCAATGCAACTTTCGATGTTGAGCCGGGGGTCTCTTTGGAAACAACCTCTCTACTTTCAAGTAGGGGCAAGGTCTGCGTACACACACCCTCCCCAGACCCTACTCTTGTGGGATTTAACTGGGTTGTTGTTGTTGTTATTTACCTCCAATTTTTCTAAAAATTCAATGGACTCTAAATATTGAATCAATGATCCTTAAGCTTTAAAAAATATTGCATAAATAGTCTCTCTGTGAAGATCCAAGTACAAAACGCATCATGTGAGTAATAATTTTTCAATCCCAAAAATTGTGCCTTAAAATGTACTCCAAAGATTTACATGGACATTTTAATGACTTACATTTACAAAATGTCAGTGCAGTCGCGTGGTTTCAAGATTTTGCACAAACATTTTTCTATCAATATAAGCCATCAATATTTTACTTAAATCAATACAAAATATAAGTATACTTTTGAAATATATTTTGAGATACAATCTTTGGTAACGTACAAATAAATTTGTTATTATTTTTTTCCAAAAATCCATCCTAAATAATGTCAAGTTTTGTACTACATATATTATTTGATTTAGCCTTATCCCTTAGTAGCCATAGTAGGAGTGAGCATTTAAACCGAACTGACCATTAAACTCATAATCACCAACCGAATTATCTAAAATTATGATTTCTATTTTAGTTAGTCATCCATAAAATACAGAAAATTCATCTGATACATTAAATTTTTTGTAAAGAAGTTCGAGATCCCAGATTAATTGAAATATATTTTAGCGTACTCTTGATTTTCTAGTAAGACTTTCAAGGCGATATTATCTGAAATAAATTCTGGATGTCTATAAAATTTATGTTAGTATATTCTGAGTGTACATTTCACCTATTTAGCTGTTAGAGCATCCGCATTGGAAGAAGAATAACTAAATGGAGGGCTACTTCCTATTTTTCTCTTTCAGGTCAGATTCTGTGCATCGAACCCACAACTCCTTTGTTACTCCTCTTTATCTCCTACATCAAAAGGACTAGTAAGACAATACTATTTTTACTTTTTTATACAAAATCCATGCGCAACATTAAATGTTTTTGTATATATACAAAAAAAATATTTAATTAAGATAATAATTTTAATTTTAATTTATACAAAGTTTGATGAAAAGTGTGCGATTAAAATTTACAAAGTAATTAGAAATAAAATAAAATTAAAGATGTCTACGTATTTTTATTTCTCCAAAAAAGCGTACCTGACTAACTGTCAACACGCCAAGAACATTTCGGTAGGAGGGGATACATGAGCAGAAGTGTCAAAACTTGGAGTCGTGACACTCTATACTCTTTTCTGACTTCAACAGTTGGAACTTGGGAAGGAGTAGAACTGTAGAAGAGTAAAAGATGGAGGAAGAAGGAGAAGAAGAAGCTAGTCTTAGAAGCTTTCTTCGATGGGCAGCGGAGCAGGGGATCACAGACAATCTCTCATCTTCCACCCAATCGCGCTCCTGTCTGGGCCACTCCTTGTTCGTCTCCCATTTCCCCCAAGCTGGAGGGTACATTTATGCTTCTGTGTCTACATCTCGACACATACTTATTCATTTTGATGATACTCATAAACCCTAATGCAGGAGAGGCTTGGCGGCGGCTCGTGATCTACGCAAAGGGGAGTCGATTCTCCGAGTTCCAAAATCTGCTTTGATCACGGCGGAGAGTCTGGGGAAGGAAGACGAATCTCTCTCTAGGGCGCTGCGGAATCACACGTCTCTCTCATCTTCTCAGGTGCGTTTCACGGTGGATCGGAGATGGGGGTTGGATTTTTACGAGTTTATTGTGTATTCTGATTTATAACACAAGCTGTTTGTGAAAATGTCTGAATGAGACTTGTAAATTTTTCTGAATGTTTATGTTTTTGTGCCATGAACCTAGTGGACTGCTTCTCTTTTCAGAAGAATTCTGAAGAAAGATCATGGAATGGGATAAATACCTAGCTAGGACGTTTACCAAAAAAACACCAAAATATAATTGCCAAAAGATATTTAGAGGATAAAACATAATAAATCTGTTTTTGTGATGAATTTTATGTTTTAGTCTTATTTAGGTGGATTTCTTTAATGGATTAGGTGATTGGGAAGTTAAAAAAAAATCTTTCTTTTGGAGCAGATATTGGCACTTGCTTTGCTGAATGAAGTGAACAAGGGAAAGAGTTCTTGCTGGCACACTTATTTGAAGCAGTTGCCACAAAGTTATGACACCCTTGCTTATTTTGGTCATTTTGAGATCCAGGCATTGCAGGTTTTTCCAAAGCTATGACCCAAAGTAGTATACTGTTTTCTGCTATCTGTTCATTTGAGCATGAAAGATGATTGAGTTTTTTGTTTAAAGTGTTTGGAATGATTTATAGGTGGAAGATGCTATCTGGTCTGCAGAAAGGGGTGTGCAGAAGGCCAAGGTAGAGCTGAAAGAAGTTAGTGCTTTAATGCGTGAAATCAAACTTAAGCGTCATCTAATGACAAGTAAGGCATGGCTTTGGGCTTCTGCAACTGTAAGTATGTTACCTCTCACTGTAGGTATCTTAGCTGTGATATAAGTGGGCATTGGGCATGGCCTAAGTTGTAAATGACAAATGAGGGATTTTTATAGGAATGTTTATCCAGCATCATGCAATTGCTTGCCTTTTTAACTCTACTGCATATATGATTTGTAATATGGGCTTTTGGATCTGCCCAAGAGTTCATAATATTATTACCCCTGCTCCAAAAACTGAGTCATCTTTGATCAACACACAGCTTTAAAATTTTGGCAATGTACGACACTCAGAAATTATGAATCATAATTGTGTTTATAAAAAAAAAAGTTATTGGTTAGACTACATTATCATGTGCTGTTTGTCGATAACTGTTTTTGGCAATTATTTTAGTATAATACAAAAATGTTAGCATTCTTTGATCAAATTTATCTCTATTTTTTCATTAAAAGTGGCATCTTTTTTGGACAAACAATATTCAAAAAATGTCTCTTTTTGGGATAGCAGAAATATCAATTAGTAGTATTAATATTAGTATTACTCTGAAGTTTCCTATTATGAGTATTAATAATAGTTTCAAATTAGAATTCTAACGCTATGTTTGGTTGGAAAGGAAAAGAAAGAAAACTAGAAGGAAAAGAAAATGAGAAGCATGTCGAATTGTACTAAGAAGAGAGAAAACCGAAATCCTCCCATTTTGGTGCAAGTTAATTAAAACTCATACTCCATCAATCTGTAAAAGATTTTGACTCCTTGCAAGTAGTATAAATACTCATTATACTTCATTTCAAAAATAATGTCAAATACTCTCAAGCGTAATCTCTCACCAGGTGAAATTTGTAGGGTCCTTTATGTCAAGGATGTAACTCTTACCCCATGTGCTAAACCTTGCTCAGAACAATTTACAAGCCTCCACAAGGCAAAAGCTACAAGTCCATTGTCTAATTATCATCTTCATGCTGTAAATATTTCATTTAACTACTAATCTCCATGCTAAATTTGTTTTGGTATTTTGAATGCTTTTTCTGAAGATATCATCTCGTACGATGCACATACCATGGGATACCGCTGGCTGTTTATGCCCCGTTGGAGATTTCTTCAATTACGATGCACCTGGAGGAGTGGAAAACACCGAAGGTCTCTTTAACGGCCCAGATGATCTTTGTGGCAGTACTGTGACACGGCTAATTGATGCCGGATATGAAGAGGATCACAATGCTTATTGCTTCTATGCTAGAAGAAACTACAGAAAAGGAGAACAGGTATTTGATATGCAATACTTCCTAATGGCTCCTAACCTCCTGTGTAAACATTCATTTTGCTATCCATTATCAATAATAGTAAGCCATTCGCCAACATGACAGACCACTACATAGTGATTATATATCCCTTCTTCCTCACAGGTTCTTCTGAGCTACGGAACGTACACAAACTTGGAGCTTCTAGAACATTACGGCTTTCTGCTGATGGACAATCCAAACGACAAAGCGTTCATTCCATTGGAACCAAACATGTATCGACTGTGTTCGTGGTCTAGCGATTTGGTCCACATTCACAACGGCGGGAACCCATCATTTGCCTTACTCTCCACTCTTCGTCTATGGTGGGCCCCACAAAACACACGGAAGTCGGTCGGGCAAAATGTCTATTCGGGAAAACAACTCTCTCCCGCGAATGAAGTCTCTGTAATGGAGTGGATCTCAGACAAGTGTCGAGCATTGTTGGAAAAACTCCCCACATCGATCGAGAGCGACAAGAACTTGCTCGACTTCCTAGAGAAGGTTCTAGAAGATCATAAAATGGAGGTTAGGGAAATGCCTCAAGAGTTGTTGGGTTTCTATGAGAGCAAGAAGTTGAGTGGAGAAGAAGAAGCTTGTGTGATCACTAGGAAAAGGTCTTTTGAGAGATGGAAGTTAGCTATTAAGTGGAGATTGAATTTCAAGGCCATATTATTTGACTGTATTTCATATTGTACATATAATATAGATGAAATCCTTTCTCAAAATTATTTAAGGGAATGAACTTGCATGAACGTGTTCAGCCGGGCGTAGACCATTACAGCATGAAAAAGCTTTCTTTGAGAATATTTGTGAATGAACGACTAGGTGAGTGTTATTACTTTTTTGGTTTAGGACTAATAGCAACAATGTCTCGGTGGTTTACAAAAGAGCACACACGCCTTCCGACTTATTTTCAAATTTAAAATCATATTTATGCCCTTCTTTCTTTTTAGGAAGCTTCACTCTTGTTTCTAATTTTTTATGTTTATACAAAGAATAAAAATAAGCTGAATACCATATGAGAAATTTACTTAAATAGCACTAAAACATAATGACTTTCTCTAGATAGCACCACATGTGTTTTTCTTTCCAATGTAGCACTTTTAGTCATTATGCATTAGTCATTATTCAAGTAATATATTCGCCATCACAAGACATTATTAAGTGCTATTTAGGGAGAAACAATTTAAGTGTTATTCAGGGAAATGACTTAAGTTTTAGTGCTATTTAGTGCAAATATTTGTTAAATAAAATGACATAAACTGATAAACTCACTCCTCAAATTAAAACTTTTTACTAATTTATTTTCAAAAATAAATAAAATCCTTTTTGGGAATATAAAAAAATGAAGAATGAAAACATGATATGAAATAGAAAGTAAAAGAAAAAAGTACTTTCTCCGTCCTTCATTGATGTTTCTATTAGAGTGTTTCTATTAAATATAAGGTCCATGATCATTCGAGTGTATTTATATTATGAAAATGGGCCTTTTAAAAAAGTAAGAATTACTATTCAACATTAATGTTGGTAGTAGAATCAAAATTTCCAGTCATTGTGTCTATATAAATCATCATATCAGTATAAATCATCAAAGTGGTAAGTAAAGTAGTAAGTGTGAATCTTTGGGGTAGAAATTTAGGTATATTGGGATAAAAGTAGCTTTACTCTTTGAAGTACTCCTTAATATATTCCAATTATACTACGAGAACAAAAATACACTTCAAATTATCTTTTCAATAGATACACAAACATTTTAAAAATTTACTTTGATACTCTCTCCGTCCCTAAATATTTACAACATTTGCTTTTTTAGTAGTGTCGGAAATTTTTGTTTATTTCGATATTTTCATTGATTATTTGATAAAATAAAATATTCTTGACGCCTCTTATTTCGAAGAACTTTTCATGTAGTTTTTTTATATGTAAATTTTATTTTTTATTTCTTTACCAATATGTAAATAAAATGAATTGAAAAAACTTGCTATTTTGCCTCGCGAATACAAATGTGGCAAATAATTTGGGACGGAGAGAGTACAAAATATTATCTCAATCAAAAGAGTTCACTTTGTGTCTGTACATACTTTAGGATGCAAAGTAATCATTATTCAATATATTTTTAGGTAAGAATAGTCTATGGAAGACCATCAAAATATTTCAAACCAATGAACTCAAATAGCAGTGTAACGAATCTCGAATAAGGGCATTGGGTATGGGTGTAACGCCCGGGGGCGTGAGGGGGCTTTTAACGCCCCGGGGGCGTTAAACACCGCCCCCCGGCGACGTTACCCCGGCGTCATCGCCTCTGCGTCATTCGTTTGCCGCAGCTCAGCCAACCGTCATCTCTCCCCCAACACTCNCCCCCCATTTTAAAAAAAATCAAAATTTAAAAAAAAAACTATAAATTCCCCTAAAAAAATCTTCTCTCTCACACATCTCTCTATATTCTCTCTAAAATATTTATTATATATTATAAATATTTATAAAACATATTTTAAAATGGGTTCATCTTCATCCGAAGATGAAAAAAGAGCTCTCTTTTTTCGTTGTTTCGCCACGAATTGTATACAATGGTGGGAAGATGGCCAAGAAGAAGCCGAATCCTCCCGATGACAGACCTGACGACAACGTTAAACCAGGATCAGGCGGCCGCCCACGCTTCGCTTCTAATAATCCGTATGTTTATACACCAGAGGATTTTAGTAATCGTTTTCGGATGAGTCGTCCTCTCTTTTTATGCATACTCACCGATGTTGAACGCGAGGTTCCTTGGTTCACCCAACGGTTTGATGCGAGAGGCCAACGCGGGTTTAGCGTCCAGAAGTGCACTATCGCGTTCTGTCAGTTGGCGTACGGGATGACATCTGATATGTTCGATGAATACTTGAAGATGTCGGCTCGAAGCATCAGGTCCTGTGTTTATAAAATTTCAAAAGCTATTATTCAAATTTATCATAAAAGATATTTACGCAAGTCTACAACGAGCGACATCCAGTTGTTGCAGGCAAGACATGCCACTAAACACGGCTTTGTCGGCATGCTTGGGAGTATTGATTGCACGCATTGGGAATAGAAAAATTGTCCCACTGCATGGCACGGTCAATTCTCCCGTGGAGATCATCTCAAGCCTACCATCATGCTCGAAACTGTTGCTTCGAATGACTTATGAATTTGGCATGTTTTTTTTGATGTCGCGGGCTCAAACAACGACATCACAATCTCAATCAATCACCTATTTTTGACGATTGGGTTAATGAGACCGCACCAGACTCTTTTTTTGAGGGCGTTTTACAAGCGTGGATAATATTTGGCCAATAGAATATATCCAAATAACTCCACGATTGTCAAATCCTTCTCCAAACCAATGGATCTTAAACGCTAGACCTACAAAAAGGCTCTAGAGGCAGCGAGAAAAGATATTGAACGAGCCTTTGGGGTCTTGAAGAGTAAATGACACATTCTAGATCGTCCGTCGAAATGTTATTCTCAAACAAAAATGAAAAATATCATATACGCATGTACTATTCTTCATAATATAATAAAATATATTCAATACGTGATTCGTATTCGAAAAGGATGATACATATTCGAATTCGAATACAAATCTTATTTTAGATTCGAATTATTTTCGAATTCGAATACAAATATTAATAGATTCAATTTATTTATAATTCAAATTATTCAAATATTTTAATTTATAAATAAATTTATATATATTCTAATATATTAAATATTTGTGTACATAAAACATATTTTAATATATTAAATTTTTGGGTACATATCAATTTATATATATTCGAATATTATAATTTATAAATAAATTTATTTATATTCTAACATATTTTCACTACATTTTACCCCGAGTACATTATTTTAAAAAAATAATTTAATATCTTTAAGTATCTTGTTTTAAGAAAAAAAATTACTAATATTTTCGAATTCAAATATTCAAATACGAATTCAAATACGTCAAATATCTATCGAATCGAATACAAATGTTTTTTAAGTTCGAATTATATACAAATCCGAATCCGAATACATATCACTTTAATCGAATACGAATCAAATAGTAGTATATTTGCTTCGATTCGTATACATCCCTACCCAGGACTTCAAACGTATTTCCAGTGCTCTAACAGCTTATGTAAAAACAGCAAACGCCCATCTTATATTTTTCAAAACGTTACTCACACTTAAATACATTCATAAAGATCAACAATAAACTACAATCGGTCTATCCTTAATCATCTCGCCAAGGGCAAAATCAGATAACAAAGTTCTCTAGCAGAGATCCCTTGTTCAACATTGCTGCACTCCACATGCCCTGCACTGTCCCCCACCGAAAAAGGTCAATTATTATCCTAAATCATAAATAGATTTAACAATATAATTATAAAATTCATGAAGAAAAAACAAATTTATAATTGAAGCAAAAGATTCACTATTCCAATATCAAACATGGGAAATAAAGATATGGATCAGATTATTGGCTTGAATTTCTCAAGAAAAGAGAAATATAGATCGCACAGTAATTTCAGCTTCGATCAACTGGGGAAATAATCATCATATCCATTGTAAGTTCAAAGGAAAAATTTAAATTCAATTCTCAAAAAAATTGGATCAGAAATCTGGCTTGGAATTTCTCCATGAGAGAAAACACAAAGAGCGCACAGTAATTTCACCTTCGATCATCTGGGGAAATAATCATCACGTCCAATGAAAATCAAACCAAAAAAATCAAAGGAAATCACAAAAGGAATGGATCAGAAATCTGGCTTGGAGTTTCTCCGAGGAGAAAACACAAAGAGCGCACAGTAATTTCACCTTCGATCATATGGGGAAATGATCATCACGTCCATTGAAAGAAAAAGAAGAAACGAAATTCAGAAAGAGACGGATCAGAAATCTGGCTTGGAATTTCTCCGAGGGAGAAAACACAAAGAGCGCTCAGTAATTTCAGCTTCGATCATCTGGGGAAATAATCATCACTTCCGTCTCTGTCACGGATCTAACTACAAATCAAAAGCAACTAAAAAAGCAAATCGTGTAAAATATCCCCAGATCTGAATAGAGAAAGCTCCACTAGAACTAGAGCGAAACGTGAGAAGACAGAAACGGAGAGAGTAATATGTTGCATCTTCTCATACGCGACGGCCAACGGAAATTGACGCCGCCGGTAATCAGTAATAGATGCGGCCGACGAAGATTTAAACGTGAAGATCTAATGGGGAAAATGAATTAGTGAAGAAGAAGATTGAGACTGCAATAAGATTATGAGTAAGATCTGGGGCGGCTTGTGATATATAGTGGACGAGGAGAAGCTCTAGGGTTTCGACCTTAAACCCTAGCAAAAGCTTGTTCACTGAAACTCCGGGGCGGGTTAGCGGGTAGTCGGATGCAGAATATGGATATCCATTTTATTTAGGATTTCACCTTTGATTTCATTGGTCTGTATTAAAATTGTTCAATCTTGTTTAAAAACAATATTTCCGATGAATGTAAAATGAGCAAGTTTTTCATGACGATTCCTACCCCCGGTAAACCCCCACTCCGCCCCGAACACACCTTCCCACCGCTTCAATTGCACCCCACAAGTTGATTTTGACTTTGGAGCCAGAATTTCACTCATATATATAGACACACACACATACATACATACACACATACATACACACACACACACACGATATTTGTTTTTCATTTTTTTACATGTAAAAACAAAATCTTTACTATATGGAGTATTAAATTTTACTTTCATTTAATTCATAAAAAGTTATTAATATACAACTTTTAAATGATTTTTACTTTTTATTTTCTCATCTCATTTTTTTTGAAATTTTGAAATTTTAAATTTTATTTTTTTAGTATTGATTTTTTTAAATTTTATTTTTATTTTTACATATATTATAGAATATCTTCCAAGAAAAATGATTTTAAAAAATTAATTTTTCTAACAGCCAAGTCCAAATGCCACTCCCTTTAGCTTTTCGCATCAAAATGCCAAGTGAAAAAGTCATTAGCCAAAACAATGATTTTGAGTGTTCGCCCTTAGTGTTAAATACGGTATTTTATTCCATAATTAGTCATCATAAATGAGTGTTTGAGTCATCATTTCATTTAAAAAATTAGAACACTTTTGTTTACTCACATTATATTATTATTGTTGTTGTAAATATTCTATTTTATTGTTATTATTGATATTATTATTGCTTCCATCATCTCCCATGGAGACAAAAATTCGCTATTATTTTTTAGGGTGTGATGGAATAAAATAAAATAGATCTATAAACTGATTGCGCTTATTTAGTTGAATTGATGAAGTAGTGGTTAGTCAATCAATTCAAGTTTCGACGTGGAGCCGGGTGTCTCTCTGGGCACAACTTCTTTAATTTTGAGTAGAGGTTAGGTCGACGTATACACCTCTCCAGTCTTGTGGGATTCAACTGAGTTGTTGTTGTATATATTGATATTATTATCATTGTTTTAATAATAATAATAGTATCATCATCATCAATTCTATTATTATTATTATTGCGACTATGAATTAGATAAAATATTATTTTAAAAATATTCAGCAATATGAATTTAACAAATTTATTTTTGTATTAATATGAAATTTAATTTTAATTACTTAATGATAAAAAGAAAAATTAAGTTGAAGATAATATAATGGACCATTTCAATATGAGGTGGTTATATTGATCATAGGGCAGTTAAATCACCCGGATTTGTTTCAATAACTTCCTTGTAAAAAGTTCTTTTGGCCATTTCTCAAAGAAAAACAAGGAGAAGAAGAAACACCATTAATCAAATACACAGAAACATTGCATTGAGAATATATAATGAGCTCTAGCGATGGGGTTTCTCAAACATCTTCAAAGAAATCAAAGAAACCACAATGTAATTCCATTTCTCCTTTCCTTCTCACATTTTGGATTTTAGGCCCTCCACAAAAAAAATATCTTTTTCATTTCCTTTCTATGAATGGATCTTTTACTATTGATGATTTTACTGTTATTCAGATTCTAGATTTACCCAGCAAGAACTTCCTGCTTGCAAGCCAATTTTAACACCAGGATGGGTATGAGCATTTAGATTTTTTATTCATAATGGTCTTTTAAATTTATTATTCATAATGATCTTTTTATAGGTCATTGCAACCTTTATTTCCATTGGCATTGTTTTTGTGCCTATTGGCCTTGCAGCTTTATCTGCATCACAAAGAGTAATCCCCTCATAAATTCTTTTACGAGCGTTACGTTTAAAAACAAACCGCATAGATTGGTTAGTTCCACAACTTTAACAATCTTATAAACCGATATGCAGGTGGTGGAAGTTGTAGAGCGATACGATGACTTGTGCATTCCTTCAAGTAAAGAGGATGAGAGCGATTCAAATAACGAGAGGGCCAAGTTTATACAAAACGATGACACGAATAAGACATGTGTTACGACCTTGACGGTTAGTGTAATCCCCCTAGTGATTACTTAGATGTTCTGATCTTAAGTGTATTTTAGTTCAAAGTGTTCACCTTTTTCTTCCCATGATTAACAAGTTGGTTGGCAATAATCATGACTAGATCCCCAAGAAAATGCAGAGCCCGGTTTTTATATATTACGAGCTCGATAACTTCTACCAGAACCATCGCAGGTGGGCTTTGTGTGTTTTTTTTACCTCATTTGAACCTTAGTTTAAGTACTTTTAAGGATCATTCATGATGTTTGGAAAACATCCCATTAACATTCTTCTTCTTAATATCATTACAGATATGTAAAAAGCAGAAGCGACAAGCAATTACGCAGCCCGAAATATGAACGTGACACAAAGCCTTGTGCTCCCGAGTCCATGAATGACAATAAGCCGATTGTTCCTTGTGGACTTGTCGCTTGGAGTTTGTTCAATGACACTTTTGGGTTTAAGATTAGCAACAGAGATTTGCCCATAAACCGAAAGGACATTGCTTGGGGAAGTGACAGAAGACATAAGTTTGGCTCTAATGTCTATCCAAAGAATTTTCAACAAGGAAGCCTTATTGGCGGTGGACAGCTTAACGAAAGCTTACCGGTTAGTGCACAGATTCTTCATATAAGTGCTCCACCCGGCCCCGTCCCCAAAACGTCCCCGTTTGGATTCTCGGGGACGTCTTGACAGCTAAATCTTTTATGGCATGTTCGGGAACTTGTACTTGAATTTCAAATCCGAATTCGGCTTAAATTCCATGTTTGAGAATTTTAAAAATATAGACTTGGATTTGAATCAAATTCCTCTAATTCATAACAAAGATCAATTACAAATCCATTTACCTACTCTTAGGGTCCGTTTGGTATACGGAATTGATGGAATTTGAATTGAATTGGAATTGAAATTCCATGGGATGCAGTTCCATAGAATTGAATTCTGCCAATTTCAATTCATTTTTTGCACTATCAATATTCCAAATCCACATAATTTTTGTGCTACCAAACACCAGTTTGGAATTGAAGTCTTCAATTCCAATTCCATGGTTTGAATTCCATGTACCAAACGGGACCTTATCGTTTGAAATTCGAGAATTCAAATGATGTTTTCATGTTTCTTGTCACAGTTGAGTGAGCAAGAGGACCTTCTTGTTTGGATGAGAACTGCAGCTTTACCAAACTTCAGAAAACTGTATGGGAGAATAGAGAATGACCTTGAAGCCAACCAGGAGATCACTGTGGTAATACAAAACAATTACAACACATATGTTTTTGGGGGGGGAAAGAAGTTAGTTATTTCGACCACGACGTGGATTGGCGGGAAAAACGATTTCCTCGGAATAGCATACCTCACGATTGGCGGCATTTGCTTTTTCTTGGCAATAAGTTTCATACTTTTGTATGTCATCAAGCCAAGGTAAGTCTATTGTCCGTCCCAAAAAACACTTGTTATTTTTATAAAAAAAGTCATTTTATCTCTTACTTTTTAATATTTTATCTATCACATCTTACTTTTTTTACTAATAAACTACCCATCAAATCTTACTTTTACCCATCACATCAAAGAACTTTTTTAGAAATTCAATATCAAAATACACTTCCCTTAAATCTCTTAAAAATCAATAACTTCCATGTTTTTAAAACGGGAGAGAGTATGTTTTGTGTTCAGAGACATTCAATTTTGAAAAAAAAAAGATGACCCCAACCCCGAGGGTCCCCTCAGACCCGGCCGGACAGTCACTGAGAGGAGGTAAATTGGATTTTATCGTAGATTGATGGCAAAGAGTAGAGCCTGCACTTGGCACTTGTAAAGGCCTTACGCTTAACATAGTATCCTCTCAGCGCAGTTGGCAGGAATCGAACTCGGGTTTTACTCCCTTGGCACTCCCTGCCTTGCCAACTGCGCAACGCCCACTGGCCGGAGACATTCAATTTTGGACCATACTAGTGGTTGGCACCATTAGTGTCTCATGGACAATATATAATTTGACAACATGTTTGTGTGCGCGCGGCTGTCTCTCGTGGTGTCAACCTTGTGGTGTCATTCTTGGGGGCTAAAGCAACATTTTTCTTCTATTTTTAGTCTCATCATGTCTAGTATGTGCAGGTCATTTGGAGATCCAACCTATTTATCATGGAACCTCAACCCAGACATGAATTGAACTTCTTCTTCACATTTGGTAAAGGCGTTTTACTACACCTTTAAAGTTCTAATTCAACTCTTTCTTTTTTTAAATATATATACTAGCATTTTAACTCGTGCGGTACATGGGATAGAACGAATTTTTGTTCATTGTTTCTTAGGTTTATCTCAGACTTTATTCTTTTAGATTCTAACTTTTACGGTACGTTGTTTTGTTGAGAGAAAAATAATTTTTCAAAAAAAAAAAATCAGTTTAGTTCTACTTTTCTATATTTAATAATATAAGTTGTATAAAATTATTTTTTAGGAAAATGATTCTGTCAAAGAAAGGAAAATTACCTTTGCTAGGGGGCGAATCTTTGGATGCAATTTTTCATTATTCAGAATACGTATACATTCACAATGTTGTAATAATGCTAACATGTACTTTTTCATTTGCATTGTCAGGTAGATCAAATATATGTGCAAATTAGAAATTCGAAGATATGCACTTTTAAAGAAAAAATTGAAAGAAGATAGTGTTTATTTATTGATGAAAGTCAAAGTACTACAAAATTACCAAACAACGAAAACTACGAACCATCCTTTTATGCCACAATTCTTTAGTAGGACGAAACTTCAAGAGATTTTGTGAAAGTGATGTCCGAAATTTGTAAATCAATTAATTTTTATACCTTAAAATAATAAAATCTCTATATTCCATTAGATACCAATTTATATCCTTCAAATGTGCTTTTTAACTTAGTAACGTAAATATGACTCGTGCGACACACGGGTCTGATACTAGTTTTATCATGTAGATTAGTATACAAAAAATTATCTTATTCATATTAAAAAGTTGAAGAAAAAATAACAATGAATGTGAATCGTAAAAATAGTGAGATGAAAAAAATAATTTATAAATTATAGTTATAAACATAACAATTGTAATAATAATAATACATTAAAATATATCGCTTTTAGAGTAATTGGTTGAGAATTAAAAAGAGTTTGAAGAAAATAAGAATAATTCGAAGAAACTAAAAAAAACTAGAATAATTAGAAAAAACTGGAACTAACTGAAAGTTAAGAGTTTAAGCACTAAAAACAAGGTCTAAAATTAGAGCAACTCCAAAGGGAAAAGGTAAATTGAGAAGGTATTTTGCTCATTTACCTTCTTGAAAAGGTAGATATACCTATTTATAAAATTCTTGACTCCAATGGAAGAAGGTAAATGGAAAAGGTAAGTATATGTTTCCCAAAATAAAGGTATTTTAAAGAAAGAGAAGAAATTGGTATACCTCTCCAAAATTGAGGAGGTAAATATACATCTCCATAATTAAGGAAAGTATAATACCTTCTTATTTACCTTCTCCATTGGAGGATAAACTTATGTGTAAAAAAGGTAAATTTGACAAATATTGTTCTTTACCTTTTGTTTTACCTCCTACATTGGAGTTGCTCTAAAGTATTAGTTAGAAATAGTGATCTCATAATTAAAACATGCCATATATATATATATATATATATATATATATATATATATATATATATATATATAATTATATATTCCTTAAAAAAGCATATACATTATTTCGTTTTCCATTGTAGAATCGTTGCGGAAGGAAATAGATAAATTAAAATAGGCTTAAATGCATAATTACTAGGAGTACTCCATAATTGTTTTAAATAAATTGAGGAAAAACAAAAAGATATTCTAAAAAATTTACACATAACTTTGCCACATGTCGTATCCATGTAAGATGACATATGTCACATTCTTAAAGTTACACATGTCAAATTCTTAGAGTTAGAACTCAAATTTATATACTGTATAAAAAATGTTTTTAATTTCTTTTCCACTTTCGTACGAATTTCTTCCGCGAAGCATTTAATTAGTTGTTCCCATAATTAAAATAGTGTAGATACTTTTCTATATATATATCTTGCTCCATATTACATTTAGCCATACAACTTCACGTTTTTTTAATGTCTGGGGTATACATCCAGTTTGACCTTTTATAGTTTAACCAGACGAACATTGATTTTCAATTAAATTAAAACTATATTGTATATCAATACAAAAACAGAGTAACTAAAGTACCTAAACATATCAATCCTGGTTGAGATCTGAAGATTTATCAATGTTGTATCGCTGGCACACCAATGTCTGGTTATTGCTCCACCAACTTTCTGCTTCTTTCTCCCTGAACTTCCTCCTACTGTAAAATGTACCCAAAGTTATTAGTTACTTCTCTCACTTGTTAAGAAAATAACCCTTTACGAAACAAAAAGCCCAATAAAAAATCCCACAAAAAATGAGTGTGTACCCAGACTTTATCGTACTATGAAGTAAAGAGGTTGTTTTTCAAGAGACGAGACCATAGTTAGGAATTACCTGAATCGAACTCGTTTGAGACTCTTTTTCCCGCCGGGCAAAGCTTTGAGGGTAATGTAGACGCCGGGCTCATACTGTTCCACCCATTCGTGTTCTGGATCCACTTCAACCTGTGGACACGCTTCATCTTCTTCTGGTCTGATCTGCCCGCGGTTTTCCTTCTTCCGCAAGGATCTAGTAGCACTAGAAAATTGAATGGGAGAACCACATACACTTTCAACTCTCCTGTCTTCTCTAGGTGCACAAATAGCAAGAATGCTGCTTGGTTGATCACCATTGAGATCTGCATTTCCTGTGGCATCTGCGGAAGTGATCTGAAGCAAACACTCAGCACCGCCGCCACAAGCTTCTTCTGACATGGCTTGAAGCTGCAACAATTTATATAGCTTCACAGATATACTCTTGATACTGAACTTTAAGTCTGCGTTTGGGTCTTGGAAAATGCTAGGGAAAAGAATGTGTTCAGACCCAAACCCAAAAAGATTCTATTTTTCCAAAAATAAGTAAATACCCTTGATGTCAAAGATTTTATGTCTTCCATTGCTGCTCTGCAGTTGGCTGATTCTTCTAGTGCCAATGACCAAACCTCCTTGAGTTTCTGTTGGCGTTCCTGGATTCTCTCTTTTCTTGATTGGCATAGTTTTTTAAGGCTATGTACCTGTAAACCACTCATCATTAGGTTGAGCTTAGCAAACTCAACAAGTTTACCTGTGGCCTATATATAAAATCTGATATTGAAGGCAGACTATTACCTGAGCTCTTAGCCTCTGGACCTCTTCAAGAAGCAACTTATCTGACTTTGAGATTCCTTGCTGCAATGGACCAGAATATGGCACAAGTTTTCCTTCCAACCCAAACGGGTCACGCTGCGACGCGGTTCGGAATTGTCTTTGCCCTCTGAAACTCCGTTTAAAACTCTCAGGGAGCGGGACCCGCCCCCATCTTGGCAAGCTGTCGAGAAGTGATGCCATGTCCTTGATCTCTGTTTGGTTGTTCAATGCCTTCCCACCATATGATGAATAATCACTCATGCTAGAGCATTTCCTTCGGGGCCCCACACGGGTTGGCCTCGGGGTGCACATCTCGGTTCTCTGGAGTTGGTTGAAACACGGGTCGCATACGCGGAACGGTTTGCTCTTATTCGGCGCTAGAGACGCGTTTGGGGATTTTTTGCTGCAGCAAACACGACAGAACAAGAAACCGCAGTTGTAACAGTTGTGTTTCTTTCTGGTAATCCCAAAAGGCAAAGCGCAACCCCTGCAGTTAGCTTGATCAGTGCTGGATATGGACTTGTGCAAGCAGACCGCCGCCGTGGAGTTGGGCCCACAGGTGACGTGTTCAACCAGCCTGTCCGTAAGATGGTCGACTAGCGTAGGGGCATTTCGGTCTTTCGTGTCGCCTAATCCTAGCTGCCCGTTCAATCCCTTCCCCCACGTGTACACCCGGCCACTTGAAGTTAAAACGACGACGTGATGTGATCCCGTGGATACCTCTCTAACGAACTCATCTTCGAGTTCCCCTTGTACGACAATTACGGTTTTATCCTCGGGGTGCGGATGCCCGAGTTGCCCGTGGATCGTGCTTCCCATCGCGTACACCTTCCCGGTGTTGGACAATCCAACAGTCAGCGTCCTCCCGCAAGACACTTGGACAAAATCTACCCCTTCGAGCATCGTGACACGTGTGGGGACAAGCTTTTTTTCTCTATCTTCGTGCCCCAATTTACCCTTATCACCATCTCCCCACGCGAACAACTTCCCGGCCCCGTTCGCGTCCGAAGTGGTCTCAACAACGGCTGCGGTATGCCATGGCCCACAGGCAACCGCCTTCACCCATAACCCCTTGAGGGATTTGACCTCTTTAGGGTGAGGAAGGCTTTTCGTGTCCCCGTGGCCGAGCGCCCCGAAACTCCCCTCGCCGTAGGTGAATAATTTCCCAGTTATCGAGATGATCCCCATGTGCCATTCCCCACATGCCACAGACGATATGATCACGCCGTCTAACGACCCAGAAACTCTATGTGGCAACCAATGGCTCCGTTTTCTACCCGTTTCACCCGCGAGTTCGGCCGTTACGTAGTTGTCACCCCAAGTGTATAATTCGCCGGAATGTGTCACGGCGCACATTTGGTATTCCCCGAAGGCGACAGATTTCACACTGATCCCACCAAGAGATTCAACTATTTTTGGGTTGGTGACATCCATGTCTATTTTGTGCCCTAGTCTTCCGCTCTTCCCCTCGCCCCAGGAAAAGACCTCGCCCTGTCCCGTCACTAGGGACGCGTGGGTCCTACCTACGAACAATGCTTGTACGTCAAGCATTGTCGTGGACTCGAGCACCTTGGGGATCAAGGAGTCTAACTTTTCACCCCCTCCCGCTAAAAATCCTCCCTCCATCCCTTCTCCCCAAACATAAACGTCTCTCAAGACGTGCCCCGTTCTTGGGGCGGGCTCACGAACGGATCCCCCAAACACGGAAAGTAAATCGCTCTGGACCTCGGACGTAGCAAAATCCGTTTCGCACTGGTTTATATCGTCTGGCTCGGAACATGGAGGGGAAGGGCTCATCACATCGGCTCCATTTTGCATGTTCGATAGATTTGCATCGGACAATATGCTGTCCGAAGAACACGACAATACGTCACAATGACCCCTCCCTGAAAACGACTGCTCCGGACTTCCAGCCAAGCTCCGAACCTTCAATATTTACAAATTATTAGTAAAGAATCATACTAAAAGAATGAATCAAATCGATTATCTATTAATTATGAACCTTATATCATTTCTCTAATTTTTCGACGCGAGATACTTTAACACGAAAACAACTAGTTTTCTTTATCCCAAAAGTAGTCATTACATGCTACCAAAACAAAGTCCAAATCAATCATGAACATATAATCAAGTGAACCAAGAACATATATAGTACCTTGCTTGACCTAACAGGCTCCATAGGAAGACCAAGAATCTGTCTCCTCCTCACACAGCTAGCCGGGCTATTAATGCAGCTTTGAGCTCCCCGTCTGTGTCTCGGTCTTTCGGTCCCCGAGAACCGGTTTTGGTGGCTCTTCGATATTAGAGCTTTCAACCCTACAAACCATGACTCTGCCTGCATTTTGTCCTTGCAAATCTGTTCACACACACACATACATATAATCTCGGGTAAATTCCACAGCGGTAGGGCTATACATTGAAGAAGAAGAAGAAGATTTTTTTTACCAGGTCGAAGAACTGTTCGCCATTCGCGTACACAAGTGAAATCACCTGGCTTTCTCTATCAGGCTGAAGTTGTTTCTGAAGATGAATTTTCATTAAATTTCACAACAACAAAAAAATTGTTGCAGATTTGTTCCAGTAGAGATGCTTACAGATTGTTGGCCATGAGTAATGTCTGTGATTGAACTCAGCTTCAGGTGTTTTTCCTTTTCATCAGAGTACCAAATTAAAAACTTCTCATCCTGAAAGTCCAGTCATGTCGAGTTGTCAATTTTCGCGAACAAACGCGTCTGCTACAATAACATCAACCCAGTAGAATCCCACGTACAAGACAGAGGGGTGAGTGTATGCACACTCACCTCTTACTTGTATCTATAATAACGCACAAAGTGTGTTCGCAACAAAATGTATGTTTGTGGAAGAGACTGTCGCGATGCAAACCAAAATTAGAGTGACATATGATTTTATATGGTTTTATGTTGTTAACTAACTAATCGATTGGATTCCACCATTGTAAAAAAATGTGGTCGTGAAGATTTCGGGTTGTGTGAAGGATTATTTCATTAATTCAAACATGTTTGGCATTGAATTTGTGGTATGTAAGTGAGAATTAAAAGATTATAAAGCCAAAAAAAAACATAATTTCTTTTCTCAAAAATGCTTTAAAATGTCAATATTCTGTTTAATGAAGTGTTTACCTTCTGCAGTAATATTTCTTTAGCATTTTTCAAAGTGGTTTTTTCTCTTATTTTCCTTGACTAAAATAAGGATTATTTTGACACCCGAAAATAAGTGTAATTATAATACCCGAAAAATACTTGTCAATTGCCTTCTTTAATTTACCTGGGACAACCTGAAAGGACAAAACTTGGGCTTTCCTATTCTGCTGTACTTCAAAAGATGCCCTCCCTTCTTCAATCCAACAATTGCCTGCTCAAGTATGTCCCCACAAAAAAAAAAACTTTATTTAAAAAAAAAATTAAAAATATACTCTTCATTCAAAAAAACGCTTTTTTCTTTCATTATTTTCACTTCTAATAAAACACTTCCATTTTTTATTATTAAAAAGCCATTTTTACACTTACCATTTTATACTCTACCTATCACATCATACTTTTTGTCTAATATTTTATCCACCACATCTGACTTTTACCATCAAATTTATTTTTTTTTCTCTAAATAATGAAACATATTAGCTCTACTTTGAGTGTAGACGTACACATATACTCCCCACACCTTACTCTCCTGAGTAAGGTTTGACTGAGCAAAATCTCTTATATATGAGCTTTTATTTGAGTTAATTTCTTTAACACCCTATATATCAAAGCCTAATTAAGCTCAAACTTGTGATCGGAATCAAAGTCTGAAAAAATGTTAATACTCTAACACATTTTCAGAAAGTGAAATTTGTACGAAATAGGACTAAAACATAAGTACGTCATGTCCTAATGTATGACTTAAACTATATTATTCCTTAAATAATGTTTAATAATATCTAGTGGTGGATATTTACTTGAGAAAGGTAAATTCCGCTTTGAGGTATGTAGCTACATATATTGAATTGGCAGCAGAGGTAAAAGGTTTGATAATCCATAATAATTAATGTGGGAGTAAAAGAAAAGTGGAAGAAAGAGAAGAGTAGGTACCTGTTCAACAGCCCTGTCAGAGGAGGAGGCCACTGCAGCAGAAGAAGAAGAAGAAGAAGACAAGAGCTCTTCTCCCATTATATATTTTCCTAGCTGGGATGAAATTTGCCTTAAAACCAACAAAGAAAAACAGTCTTATATAATGAGCAGAGAAGAAAGAAGAAGAAAGAAAGAAGAAGAAGAATTTGTAAGCATAATATTAGGGGATGGGCAGTTGGGCGCCGTTTGTTTGATTGATTTGACTCATACAACTTCTACTTGCCTTTTTTCCCCTTTCTTCCTCCCTCCCTCCCTCCCTCCATGTATCTACTACCTCTCTACTACACACACGCTTTATCTTCTCTTTGTACTTGGCAACTACCTAATACTCCGTCTCTTCTAAAATCATCTTCTCAGTTCGGTTTATGAGTGATAGAATTCAGGATTGGTTAAAGATAACTGGATTGGACTATAAAACACTTGGGCTGAACCACATTAAAAGATTGAATTCAATCGATTACTTAGTTCAAATCAAGAACTTAAATACCCATTATTTTTCTCACACTTTTTAGATGCAGGATACTCTTTAACAATGAGATTTGATTGGAATTATTTTCAATTCAATTTATTTGATTATAGGTGTGAAATTATATTAATAGAGAAAAAGTGTGATGTGATAGGTAGGTTAAAAATTAGTAGGGGTAAAAGTGACTTTTTAAAAGGAAAAGAGAAATGTTTTTTGGGACGGATGAAAAAAGAAAGGGGAACTTTTTGGCGGGACGGGGAGAGTATGTTTCAAAACTACATCAAAAGTTCTACAAAACAAGATGTGACACGACTTTATTATTTTATCAAATAACTAACGAAAATAAGTAAAGAAAATGATTAAAATTTGACTAAGTGAATAGTGTCTCAGAAGATCATTTTAGAATGGATGGAGTACTAACTTTTCGAGAGAAATACTAAAGTAGAAGTACAACATTATTGAAAATATATCAAAATATAAGTTTCATGTTTCTCTTCCTGAATTAAAAGTTAAAATGCATATACAATGTCAATCTTGACTCTATACATTATCAAATAGTAATGCGAAATTTTCATATATAGTGTCACATTATCACAGTGCAAACTCCTAATTTGAAAATAATATGAAGTTTCTATTTTGGTAATTTCTTTATATTTTTCTCCTATTTAGAATGCATGATGATTTATTTAACTTCTGTTTGCGTGTGCTTTTTATTTGGTCATTTGATAAAATAAAATATTCTTGTCACCGCTTATTTTGTAAAACTTTTGATGTAATTTTTAAATATGTAAGTTTTAACTTTTATTTTTATACTAATTTGTAAATAAAATCATTTTAAAAAGATGAGGCTTTTCACATAAAAATGAAATAGAAAGAGTTTTGATAAATGGAGAGTATATTCTCATCACTTTCGTATATAATTTTTTACAATAAAAAAATGTTACACCATCCGTTTTCCAGTTTTTGTCCACTTTCAAAGTGGCATAATCACTAATATGAGGCCGGTTTAATTTATATGATTTCTTACACACTAAAAATATTACTCTTAATTATTTGGCTATGATTTTTTTTATAAAACAACTATTAATCACATGTATTTTAGGAAGTACTCCGTGTGTGTGTGTGTGTGTATCATAATATTTGTATAGTCAAAATGAATTTTTTTTTTCAAGATTGGGCATGCTAAAAGCAAACCAAAAATGAATTGGACATAAATAATGTTATATGCATGCATGTATAGGGGATATAGTAAATGTATATACATGATTGGCAGCTTATACTCTACCCTAAATGCTTGGAGAGTGGGATAAAGTACATACATGCATCATGCATGCATGCTTATATGTCATCCTTACATGCATTCTAATAGCATCCCACATCATATCACATAACATTAACCCTTCTTATTGAGGATGGTGGAGGCATAAACTTCACATATTCCATATATGTTTCATATATATCTCATTTCGATTTTTACAATATTTATTTTAAGAAAATAAAAAAGTATGTAGGTGGGTGAATTTTGTAAAAAAAGGTGAGTAAATGTTGTGCACCACATGTTTTTCTCAAAAAAGAAAAAGAAAAGGAACATTGATTCGATTTAGTATAAATGTCCAAATACCAACTCAATCAAAAGATTGAGCTTAATTATAATTATAAGCGCAAAAAAATGGTTTATACTTTAATACGCGCCTTCACGTCCATATAAGATTTGAGTTTGCTCATACCTGAATGGCTGAATATTAAATTTTTTAAGGCTAGGTGAGACTCGAACTTGTGACCTTTTGATCAACAAGATTTTGAATTGATACTATGACAAGACTTTTGATTAACAAGATTTTGATACTATATCAAGTGATGGGTGTATTCCACCCACGACCGGCCAAAGGAGAAGACCAATTAGTTGACTGGTCAATCTCGAAAGTCTTGTAAGGGAGACTTAAATCATCAGCAAATCGATATATAATCGGCCAAAAGATGACCGGTATACTTCACGAAAAAATATACTGGTCAAACTACGTTGTCCCCCTATTTATTCCCAGACTTCGATGAATTCATCTCTCGGAGATTACCCGGTGTAGTTTCTAGGTTTGGAAAGTGTCGGCAGAAGAGAATCTAAGAGGGCTTGGCGTGTAGCGACCCATGTCAGTAGAGGACAACTGGAGTTGCTGGAGAATCCATCCAAGGCACTACTCGACAAAGGGAATAATCCCCCTCACAAGGCGACAAGGCAGCTCAAGGACGAAACCAGTCACCTCGCACCACATCAGCAGCATGCCCCCACGTGGGCGCATGTGGTCTTGTCCCCCTTAGCCTAGTATAAATACTCCTGTAAACCTCAGGAAGAGGGATCTGAATTCATTCTCTCTAAACTCCCTTGTAAAAGCATCTGTGCATTCTCCGTTATAATATAAATTGGGCTACAGGTGTTCCACCTAAAGTCCTACCGGTCAATCTGCGTGTTTTTACCTTTCTTACTTTATCAAATCAAGCAAACTATTCTAGACCCGGTCTAGTATAGTTTGACCGGTCAAGTAATTTACACCATCATCAAGAAACTAACTCTACTAAAACTCAGTCATGTGGCTCGAACTCACGACCTCGTGGTCAACAAAGTTTTGATACTATACCATTTCAAGGAAGTAAGTCAACTAAATAAAAACTCAAGTTTGTGATTGTAAATAGTAAATACAGGAAAGATTTTATATTCTAACAATAACAAAAATAAAAAGAGATTGCAAATTTGATTTGGTATAAAAAATGAAAAATACTAAAGTATGAGTACAACGAACATTGAAAATATATTAAAATAAGAGTTTCATATTTTTATTCCTGAAATAGGAGTTAAAATGCATTAAATTACAAATCATGACCATATACATTACCAAAAGGTATAGTAAAATGCAAATGCATGCATAGTGTCATATTATCACAACAGTGCAAAATTCTATTTAGAGAATAGAAATATAGAATTTCTATTTAGATACTTTCTCTATGTTTTGCTCCTATTTAAGAAATAAGAATATAGAACTCTTATTTTTATACTTTTTCCATATTTTTACTTCTATTTAGGGTGATTTCTTCAAAAAAAGAAAAAAGTGAGACAACTATTACCGAACCCGAAAAGAATATAAATGCTCCGAATGAACGTTTTCTAGTTAACGTACTACCGCATTCTCGATTTTGTCATATCAGATCAGATTCGATGAGATTGATATTCAAAAAAAATATCATGTGAAAGGAATTGAGGCTTTCTTATTTGTGTGGAGAAAATGAACCAGAACAAGACTGTTTGCAAGATGTGCACGTGTCTAGAGCTCTCAATTAATTATATGACCCAATATTTTTGGGTGTTAATCTTTATGACTATGTGACATGTGAGAATTATCTACTAGGATTCAAATATTCCCTATATACTAGTAATATGCTTGTAATGTTTTTATACTACAAAAAAAAAGTCTTATAAGTCAAAGAATTCTGTCAATATATAATACTCAAAAATAGATATAGGAATAGAACATAATGTCAATACTTTTATTTAGTGATTAAAGTATAGGGGATCCTAATTTTAGTTATATTTAGATAAATCTCTTTTCGGCATTTTATAAATTGGTTTTTTAAATAAATAAATACGGACCAAATATTTCCATAGTCAATATTATTGATTGTAAAAGTTTAAACTTAGTATGGAGTACTAATTTTCAAATAAAGGCATTCTACACAAAACAAAAAGATGGTGGAATGGTGATATGACAAAATCTAAGATTGCCCAAGTATTGAAGTAATTTTTGTAAAAGGCTAAAAAATTTTAAAATAATGAAATGCTAAAATGACATGGTCAAAAAGAGTATCGAACTCTCTCTTGTGATGCTCTAAGAGCGTCTTTAGTGGCAGGTTTTACCGAGTTGTTTTGTGTAAAAAAGATGATTTGGAGCTTATTCGGTGTAAATGTGGAGCATCAATAGCTTCATTTTTCAAAAGAATTACTTAGTGAATCACTCATATCTTAGCTTAGAATTTCTAGTAAGATGCATCACTAAAGATGATGTACGATTATATTGTGTGTACTGCCAACACAATAGAGACAATAAATTGGGCTTAAATGGGCCTAAGCGCTAATTAGTGTCGTGGATCCAAGTTATTACATGCTCCCCACATCTTATCAACTTTGATCCCGGGTCGATAGATTAATTTAGAATAATGAAAATTGTACTCCATCCCTTTTAAACTTATCTTTGCAAACATTATTTGAATGGTTAAATTTTAGGAAAAATTTATAACAATACTTTAACAAATCTCTAATATAACAAGGATACTCCAAAAATTAATAAATTACACCATTAATCTCACAATTGCTCCTTTTATACAAAAGCACACCACCCGTAATATCTAAATGGATTTTTAAAGTGATGATTTAAAGAAATCCTTTTTTTAGTTTTCATAAACAAATTAAATGACTTATTGCTCCTTCAACTCAAATATTAATCACAATTAAGGCAAGTCATTTTCAATTCAAATTCTAAAGTTTAATGTTGAAAAAAACTCTAAGAGCTAACTCTAACGGAGCTTTTAAAATGTACTGTATTTTTTCTTCACATACCAAGTTGATTATACAGCTAAAGAGAAAGATGAAGACAGAGAACTCCAAACCAAATGGCCAAACAGGCAACTCATTAAACGACAGAGCCTAATGAATTTGCTAATTACCAATAATGAATCGATAGATATTCATCCATTATTTTTTTTTGGAGGGGTATCCGTGATTAGTTTAATGGATATTCAAGAATTGACAAATCGAATATAGGGAGTAATAATCGAATTATCATCCAGTCCCAATCAATTTAAATTGTTTGCTATTGTTTATTACGGAGTATATAAAGTATGTTTGATTCAACGAAAATGTTTTGTTGAAACTGGTTTTTAGTATCAGCACATGATACTCGCTCATTTGGAGCTCTTTCAGTATTCCAAATGAAAAATTGATGGTACCCCTAACTTCTTCCATAAATCCCCCATCCCACGCGTGAACCCCTACCCTAGACCCTCCTTACTCCTCCAAATGTGTGGCTATTACGCAATGCATAATAGCCACATATTTGGAATCGGTAAGAGGGTGGGGGGTTCAGGGAGGGGTTAGGAGATGTGAACCATCAATTTTTCGAATGAAACGCCGAAAAAATTCTAAATGAGCAAGTGTCAACTGTTGACACTAGAAACCAGTGGCAACAGAAGCTTTTCGTTGATTCAAATTATTTATAATTCAATTTATTAGAAAATTGGTTTGGATTAAAAAATAACTTTCATACTATTATGTGACTAGTCACATTAAAATCATCAACAAGAATCACTTTAGAGCAATGGAAATAGGGTGACGCCGGGGGCGTAACCCAGCGTTTAACGCCAAAACGGCGTCAAACACCGCCCCCTGCGGCATTATTAGGAGGGTGTCACCCCTAACGCGTTAAACGTTTGACGGGGAGGAGGAGTCGTTGTGCGCAGTATTCAAAGCCCAAAGGGCCAAATTAGCCGTTAGGCTATTTTAAAAAAAAAATTTCAATATTATAAATAACCCTTCTTTTTAACTCAAAAAACACACTCAACATTTCTCATTCTCTCTCTATAATTCTTTCAAACTATATTCTATTTATTTAAATTATCTCTACAAAATATTAAAAAAATGAGATCATCTCCACCTGATGATGAAAAGAGAGCTTTCATTTTTCGTTGCCATGGGTTGTGATGGGTATATCCCTATACCCGGCTCGAACAACCGAAAGGGACAGGTCAAAATATGACCGGTCACTTTCATCAATCACCAAATGAGGTTAACTCTTCGATTGAGACGGGTCAAAAGTTGACCAGTCACTTTCCTTGAAAAAGTGACCGGTCACATTTTGGGCGAAAGCCAAAATATCACCTTATATTACGAAGGATATTCCGGAAGACCAAAGAGACGAGTTAAGCTCAAGAAATGACTGCTTAACCTTTGAGAAAAGGTGATCGGTCATATCATCTTACTTGGCAAACATTGGTCCAGTCTCTCATGCATGGTGAACCACGTCAAAGATCGAGGGACCATCCCGCCGCTCATCCATCACGAGGCATACAGTGAAAGGGATATTTGTCACCTTGCAGGGTTGATTGGACTGAGAATATCCATTTATAGTCTTTGATTGAACAGTATCTTGGCTTGTAGCTATTGAAATCAATGATTGTACAGTGTTCCCATTAACTACAATGACCTTCCCACGAGCTTCCTATTTTGTCCATTGATGAACAGGGAAAGGTCACAAATCCTCCTCTATAAATATGATGATATTTGATAGAGGAAGGGATCCATTCTTTATCTCACCAAAACTAGTACACTCTTGAGACAGAGTAAGAAATATATTTCGGACTGAGAAGATTTACCCGGTCTAGGTCAGACTTTGTGTTCTTGTTGTGTGTTTTATATTACGGGTCGAGTGTGTTTAGGTCAGATTCGGTCAACCCGCCCATCTATTTTTAAACCATCAGGTTGTTATCAATTTTTTGTCATGAATGTAAGTTTGTATTCAATATAATTTTTTATTAAATATAACTAAATAATTAAATTTTATTAACTTAGTATTAGAAGATGTATATTTAAAATGTAAAAGATGAAGGTTTAAAACCCCAAATTTAAGCCCCGGGACTTCAAACTCATAAGGACACTGGAAATGGTCATAATGCCCGGGGTGTTTTAGCTGCTTTTTATGCGTCAAAAGTTTAACGAAGAGAGAATAGAAATAGTGTGTCCCTTCATTAAAAAATAAAAAAAAATTACATTAATCCCATAAGACTAAAAAAATTGCTCTTTATATTATTTTTATTTAAAAAAAATAAAACATATACCAACACAAATTTATTACTCTATATTTTGTTGTTTAATGTAATGTTTTTTGTTTAAATTTTTTTAGTGATGTAATTTTTTTGTTTTTTTAAATTTAACGTACTTTTTTTATTGACTATATTTTTTTATTGACTGTATTTTTTATTTAATGAATTATTTCGGTTTGCAATATGTCATTACAACCCAAATTTGAATGAAGATACTTTTAGTCATTTGAATAATCAGTAATTTCTTCATAAAGTAATACTCTGTATAATTTTTTTATTTTTGTTGTAATTACTCAAATCTTATTTTGTTAATGTACTTTTTATTGATTTTTTTATTTAATGATTTATTTTTCATTAAATTCAATTAATTAATAAAATGTTATTAATTTAAATCTAGAAGATGTATATTTAAAAATGTAAAAAATAGAAGTTTGAAGTCTCAATTTGAAGTCCCAGGCTTCAAGCCCATTTTCAATGAAATTCTATTGTATGTTAAAGCTGATGTAACAGAGAGAATGTTTGAAGTCTCGGGGCTTCAAGACCAGGGGCGGACCCAGAACTTTTGAACCATGGGGTCGCATTCTAATAAATTCATATTAAACCGCAACATTTTTAAAATTAAATAAAAAATACTTCATAGTATACTCCCTTCATCCCACAAACTCTTTCTCCTTTCTTTTTTTCTTTGTCCCACAAAATCCTTTCTATTTTTATTAAAAAACTAATTTTATCCCTACCAATTCTTACTATACCTATCACATCATACATTTTTAGTCATCTCATTAAGATTATTTTTGGAAAGTCAAGACAAAGATATCCCTTCGTTAATTCTCCTAAAGTCTAAATGGGAAGGACATTAAGGGTTGGGGAAGTATAATATTAAAGATTTAAAGTTCACATACACCGTAAAATCACAAACTAATAATACTCTTTCATTAAAAATATAAAACACGTATTTGAAAGTCTAGTTTTCATATTTTGAAAGTGATTTATTATAATACTTAATACCTTTGTTTCCTATATTGAAATTTAAATAGTTAAGAGCATTATAAATTTACAACAAAACTCAATCCTTTTAACATATACACGATCTTACAAAATGTAAATGTAATTCACAAATTAAAAATTGAAAAGAATAAATTTAAAAATTCCCAGTTCACAAATAACAAATCCAAATATCCAATTCCCATTCAATCATGCAAAAAAAATTGTCTCTTGAAGAGTGAAGAACAAAAAATACACAAAAAAGAAGCCTTAGTATATATAGAGATTCCGAAAAACAAAAAAATGCTTGCAAGATATAAATTTAATTCACAATATACAAATTGAAAAAAAAAATAAATTTTAAAATTCACAATTCACAAACAAATCCATATATCCAATTCATATTCAATTATGTTTTAAGAAACCCTCTCTTAAAGAGGAAGAAGATCAAGAAAAGAATACACAAAATAAATAGCTTTGTGGGAAGTTTTCGAAAAAAACAAAAAGGACTCTGTAATAGAGTCGAACACAGGATCAGGCCAGGCGAGAGAGCTTGCGATTTCCACTCAGGCTACTAGGTTTACTCCTTCATACTGCGTTTTGTGCAAATATATTATTACTAAGTACGTAAACCTATATGTATATATATAAAATTATAAAATTTCCGTGGGGTCGCGTGACCTCATATGACTCAACGTGGGTCCGCCCCTGTTCAAGACCATTACCACTGGTCTATCAGTGAATTTGTAAAGTTAGTTAAAACTGACGTGACAGAAAGAGAAAGTTTGAAGCTCCGGGCTTCACAGGTATTACCAGTGCCCGAATCCAAAGAAGTAATGTGTGGCACTGGGTTTAAGCACTCGATCCTCTGTCCCTTGTCCTAATTCACCCTCACTCATCATTTAACACAAATTCACCTCAAGGGAAGGTGGGATATGGGCATATGTACATAGGGGGAGGGTGGTGAGGGTGGGTTATGTGCCACAATTTTAGGGATGAGACACGGAGTTGAGACAGGGAATGTGGACAAAAGATCGTGTGCCGTGCCCGGGGCTGTGTGTCAAAAGAACATGAGTAATGCTAGAGTCACAAACAAACAGTTCACAAAAATTCACAAACTTACCACAAAAAGCAAGTTTGTGAAGTTTGTGACTCTACATTTTCCAAAGAACATAAGTCATATGAATTCTTTCGTCGCCTAGTTTGCCTCGCTTCTTAAGATTCATAGTTCAAACTGCTTTTGATTTCAAAAAATTGCATCCTTTTCATCATATCTCGCACATTTGCGTTCAAATGGCGTAAAATCTAAGCACTGTTTGGGATTTCTAATCACATTTCGCCACACGCAAAAACACACACACACACAAGCAGTGGCATTTTTTACAGATAGAGTTATATATATATATATATATATATATATATATATATATATATATATATATATATATATATATATGAATTCTTTCATTGCCTAATTTGCCGCACTGGTTAAGATTCATAGTTCAAATTGCTTACCTTCAAAGGTCTGCCCGAAGCTCCAATTTTTGGGAGCAACACTGTAAGAAGTGAGGGTGAGTCGATCGCTCGTGGTTAACTCGAACGAAAGAGGTTGGTTTTTGAAGTCGGCATTTATGTGCCAATTTTGCCCCCAGTTTCTGCCCATGGGAAGCCACCCTGTTTGCGTACCCTTGATTTTCATTGCCACCACGTCGCCCGCACCAGCGACATTGCTGATTAGCACTGTCAGGGAGATCCCCGCTCCCGTTATCGTGAACCTCACTCCCCCTTCCTTTCTGCACTTAATTCTGTTCAAGAAAACCAACCAATCAGCCGATCAAGCAAGTGAGAAATGGTCTATAGCTTGGATCAAGAGATGGTTTATGAGAGCAAGATGTTTACAGACTTGGAATATCAACCATTGGTCACTCATTGTCAATTTGACAATGTCTTACTCCGTATTTCTTTAGAAATAGACAAAGAAGGACGCCAAAGTTGAGTTTATGACTCCGTATTTTTTTAGAAATAGACAAAGAAGGACGTCAAAGCTGATAATTAAAGTTAAGAACGAGATGGTGGTCATGGGTCTGTTTGGGAATAACGTTAGAGGTCAGCGTTAGCATTTTGAAAAAGCTATCAACAGGAAGCGTTTAGCATAAGTTAATCTGTATCGTTAACGTTTTATCCAAAACGCTAACGCTAATAAAAAACATTATTCCCAAACCAGCCCATATCAATGAATATTGTTAAAATATGGAATTCACTAATTCAGAGCCTTTAATTTACTACTCCCTCCGTCTCAAAAAGTCTTTCATGTTTCATTTTTTGTGCATCCCATAAAACATTTCTACCGACGTCTAAAATGCCTAAAATTTACAACATTTCTTCTTTATTGTGGGTAGAAGTTAATTTGAAAGTTTTTTTGGCATTCAAGACGGGATAGAAGTGTTTTATAGGATGCACAAAAAATGAAACAGGAAAGACTTTTTGGGACGGAGGGAGTATGATACACCCTCTATTATTCATTGGAATATTAAATATACTACGTAGTACTCCGTAAATAATACGGAGTAGTATTGTAAAGTACTCCGTATCTTCGTAGTATTTGCAACAACAAAAAAGTCCCTAGTGGTTTTTTACTCAAAAACTCGTGTCTCCACAAACAAATTAGAGTTCTACGGTACTCCGCTCATAAAATTAATTGCTCTTACGTCTATTTCTCTTAAACCTCAACCCCCACCCACTTACACCTCAGCCTCCTAAAATTACTTTGTCAACCGGCGAGGCGGCGAATTATGGGTGGGGCAAGGGGTAAGGACGGAAGACCATCAACTTTTCGAATGAAAGCATAAAGTTGAATAAACTTGGACATAGAGTGATTATATAATTACCCAATTCCATACTCCCTTTGTCTTAGAATTATCATCACTCTGAAATCTCAATAATTTTTATATGTTTGTTTTTTGATTGTTTTGATCAAACAAAATGTTTTAACACTTCTTATTTTGTACTTAAGATGCATTCCATAGTTTTTAAATATGTAATTTGTATCTTTTTTTAATACTAATTTGTAAACAAAATAGTTTAAGAGCCTAGAATTTGCAAGTTGCTCCAAGTGAGACAATAATTTGAGAAAATTTTTTAGAACTAGAAATTAATTAAACGAGTAAGAAATTAATGTTTATGCCTGGTAACGGGACAATGTAGGGTAGAATTGCCATGGGAGTAATGTTAAGAATGATACCTGCGATACTTAATCGGCATATTTGAAGCTTTCCAAATCGCAATCTTCTCGAATGCCTCGATTGGCAGCACGAAATGCGGATTGGGCGGGTTGCAGGGGCCGCCGCCGCCGCCGGATTCCAAGCCGTAATTGGGAGCACAGAAGTTCGTCGCCGTCACAATGATGGAAGTTCCGGGGAGGCACCACTGCGTGTCGTCCACGCACTTGACTTCGAAGCAGGCGCCGCAGATCTGGCCTCGATCGAACAGAACCGTGCTCAGCCCCGCCGTGGCCTTGCCGTAGCCGCCCTTCTCCAGATCCCCGAACCCGCAGGCCCCGCCGACAGCATCTCGCGGATCCTCCGGGGCGTAGAAGGTGGCGCGAGCCGACCGCCACTCCGATTGCAGGGGAGCGGCGCCGGCGGACGGCCAGTGGTAGTGGGAACGAACGGGCGGAGGTATCGTGCAGAGTATGACGGCGGTAAGCAGAGAAACGATCATATTACTGTTCGGATTCGGTCGGAGTAATTCCCGGCGGGGAAGAAGCTGAAAGAGAAGAACCTCAGGGAGGGATGAATGTCGGCGCCGGTGTCTTTGCACGCTCACCGGTGTTGTTTTTTTTTTTTTTTTGAAAACGCTCACCGGTGTTGTTGGGGAAGGTAGAGCAAATATTTTTGGGAAAATGCCCAAAACGGTAAAATACGGAGCTTCAAAAATGATAGGCGGCCAAATTTTTTTTAGAGAAACTTTGGAGATGATTGTAATCCGATTTTGGTTCTACAATTCAAATTTTAAAGGAAAATGCTTAAGAGGCACCACAGGTGCCTCCAAGTATGCCACCCTATTTATTTAAATTTTATTTTTTTTTTTCAATTTTCTTAGACTTTTCGTCTTCCAGCTGAACAAATTTCCAATTCTCTCTCCATTCTCCCGATTCAACCTCCCCAAGCTCCCCATTCCCAAATTCCCAAATTTTCCCAATTCCTAATTCCCAAATTGTCCGCTCAACCTCCAGCGACCTGTCCCCATCCCTCCACCTCCAGCGTCGGCCCCTCCACCTCCAACGACGTAATCGCCGGCAAACTCCCCAACCCTCCACCTCCAGCGACTTGTCCACACCCATCCACCTCCAGCGCCGGCAGCCCGGCCCAACCCTCCACCTCCAGCTCCGACAGCCACATAATTTGGGTATTGTTTTCTTTCAAAAATCAAAATTGCCCTCAAACAATGCTCGTAGTGTTAAATTATTGCACGTGCATATGAAAGCTATTTATTGTCATAAATTCCTTTCTCCTATGATAGTGTCTTCTTTTTTTCTCTTTAACCAGCCCTGCAGTGGTAGCAAAATCTGTGGCACTTGCTTGTTATTTTTGCTTACTTTGTGAATTTTATGGCATAGATGGCTAAGTTCTGTTATTTGAACTTCATATAACATTATTGTCTATGAAAGAGGTCTGCTTGTTATTTTTGCTTACTTTCTGTGAATTGTATGTCATAGACGATTAACTTCTGTTTATTGAACTTCATATATGATTATTGTCTGTGTAAATATTTAACTTATGTTAATTGAACTTCATTTCAGACGATGTCTTCGCACGGTTAATAGTGTGTGTCCAAATAGTTTGGAGAAGAAATGGGAAACAATTGTTGTCAATTTTATTCCGCAACAGGACTCTAGGTTTGTTCGCCATTACTTCGTTATGCTACTCCCATGGACGGGTGAAAATCATACCCCCCTACTTATTTTAATACTATTTTCCCTTGCAGGTATGACAATTGTGGAGTGATGGTGCTTGCATTTCTAGAGTCTTTGTTGGTTGGCTTACCATTAAGTCCAGACTGTAGTTCTCAACACATGGCTGATTTCCGATGTCAATTTGCAGCTAGGTTATGGTGTGGAAGGAAAACAACCAATATTTAGTTTTTTTACTTTACAATTTTAGGGGTCTTTGATTTTTGTGAAACTCTTTGTAATTGTTTTTGTGCTTTGTAATGTATTTTTTGGGGAAACACTTTACATTTTTTTGAAACCTTTGTAATGAGGCTTTTATCATCATGAATTTCTACTTGTTAATGCACAATTTATTGCTGTGTGTGATGACTGATTTACCTTAGTTTATGACTGGATTACAAATTTACTTTCAGAGCCCTCACAGAGAATAAGTGTCTATTTTACCCGTTACACAGAGTTTTAATGTATGTGACGACAGAGTTACATAATATTATGCACATACACCATCTTTAGAATCTTATCACCATCTTCATAACATTATGCACATACACCATCTTCTAGATTTCGTAAAACTCAAGTCATGTTATACACTTCAGATTTTTTTGATTTTTTTTGTAATGGGGCTTTTATCATCATGAATTTCTACTTGATAATGTACAATCTGTTACTGTGTGTGATGAATGACACACCTTAGTTTATGACTGAATTACAGATTTACTTTCAGATCCCTCCCAGAGATTAACTGTCTATTTTACCCATTACACATAACTTTAATGTATGTGACGACAGAGTTACTTAACGTTATGCACATACACCATCTTCAGAATCTCATCACATATGTGGGGGTCTTGTATAGCTAAAAACAAAGTTAAAACGCATACATTAGATTTCTTGGTGCTCACATGGAATAACTGTCTATGTCACAGACTTCACAGAGACTTAATGTATGTGAAGATAGAGTTACATCAGGTTTACATCAGTTTATGTGCATAGAACTCAGAGAAAGTTATGATATTTGTTACATACTTTACACAAAAAGCAAAAAGCAAACTTCATCCCCACTTCAAGACATCATTGTTAATGCCATCCGTGTTCTGTCCAATCTCACCACTCGTCTGTTCTTGCCTTTCGTCGTTAACTAAATACTGAAAGCAAGGATCGTTAACAAATATACACCAAATGCAGAGTGCATACA